TCACCTCCCTGTCCTCCATGTGCGTTAGCGTGCCTTCTAGGAGGATCTGTTGTACGATCTGCCTAAGCACAGAGGTGAGACTGGCGTGTCAGTAGTTCCCAGGATCCTCCTTTCTACCTTTTTTAAAAATAGGTGCAGTGTTTGCCTTTTTCCAGTCCCCAGGGACTTCACCTGACTGCCAGGACTTCTCAGACATCATGGAGAGTGGCTTTGCGACTACCCCAGCCAACTACCTACGAGGTCCCATAGACTTGTGCATATCCAAGTTCCTGGTCCGTAACCTGATCTTCTCTTACGGTGGGAGGGACTTTGCTCCTCTAGAAGCTAGGTATATTTTTTCTTACAAAGCAGAGCAAATGGTCTTTCCAGTGCACCCCATCTATAAGTGACAGCATGGGGTATATCTGTACTCCACTGTAAACATGGAAAAATTGCCCTGGGGAGGAATCAGGACGTCATGGGACCCACTATGTAAAGCTGTGGTGTGAGTTTGTACTCATACATGCAATTAAGCTGAAAAAATCGTGAACGTCCTTGAGAGGAGAGCACTCTCAAGCAATAGGGTGCTAAGACATAAGGGGTAAAACAACTATACTTCACAGCTTCTGGAATTTCCTTTGCTTTTTGTTGGCAGTGGAGAGAGTGGTGCAGGGAAAACAGAGAGTACGAAGCTATTGTTGCAGCACATAATGAACCTATGCAAAGGCAACTCGCAGCTGGAGCAGCAGATCCTTCAGGTAGGTCATTACATGGTGGTGCTTGAACGTGCAGAAGCAACACTGCTGCAAGACAACTTGTGTTAGGGTCAGGAAGCCTGCTGATGAACCACTACTGGAAGTCAGGAGCAAAACGTAAGACACATAGGAAAATAGTGGGTAAGGATGGTGAAATAGCTGACCACAAATTAAAGGCGTGGGTAGGTCAGTAATTCTGTTTGCTGGGAATGTAGTGATATCTTAAATGATAGAAAACTATTGCAATCATTTATCATGTTCACTGTGACAACGGATTAGGGGCATTTTTCTGAATAATTTCCTGTTTGAGGTAGAACAAGGACTTTTATTAGAAAAATTAAGTCTTAATTTAATGGTATACAGGGATGGAGAATCCACACATTCTTCAGTCACCTTTCCTTGGCTGCTTATACTTACTGTCAGGCACATACTTGCTAACTGGCTAACTTAATCTTTGCTATATGAATACATATACATTCGGTAACTGATTTTGAAACATACTTGTCTCTTTGGTCTGAAATTGCTCCCCAAGGAGTTGTGAGATTTTCTGAGCAAATCATTCTTTACCCTTCAATGTGACAATTTAGCAGAATGCGTTCTTGGGCTCCTTCATTTTAAAATCTCTCTTTTCAGGTTTTCTGTAGAGCCAGAGAGGTCTTTCTCTGTGTGATGAGTTAACATTGGCTGGACACCAGGTGTCCACCAAGCCACTCTATTACTCCTCGTCCTCACCTGGACAGGGGGAGAGGGATACAACAAAAGCCTTGTGGGTCAAGTTAAGGACAGGGAGATCATCCAGTAGTTACCATCACAGGCAAAACAGACTTGACTTGGAGAAAATTAATTTATTGGCAATTAATAGCAGAGTAGGATAATGAGAAATAAGAACAAATCTTAAAACACTTTCTCCCCACTCCTCTCTTCTTCCCAGGCTCAACATCACTCCCAATTTCTCTACCTCCTCCCTGCAAGCAGCAGAGAGGGGCGGGGAGCGGGGGTTGCAGTCGGCTCATCGCACATTGCATGGTCTCTACTGCTTCTTCCTCGTCATGCTCCTCCTCTGCTCCAGCACAGGGTCCCTCCCATGGGAGACAGTCCTCCACAAACTTCTCCAATGTGGCTCCTTCCCATGGGCTGCAGTTCTTCAGGAACTGCTCCAGCGTGGGTCCTTTCCAGGACTGCAGTCCTTCAGGAACAGACTGTTCCAGCGTGGGCTTCCCACGGAGTCATGACCTCCTTCGGGCATCCCCCTGTTCTGACATGGGGTCCTCCCCAGGCTGCAGGTGGAGATCTGTTCCACTGCTAACCTCCAAGGGCTGTAAGAGGACAGCCTGCCTCTCCATGGTCTTCACCATGGGCTGCAAGGGAATCTCTGCTCCAGCACCTGGAGCACCTCCTCCCCTTCCTTCTTCACTGACCTCGGTGTCTGCAGAGTTCTTCAGAATCATAAAATCATAGAATAGTTTGGGTTGGGAGGGACCTTTAAAGGTCATCTAGTCCAACACTCCTGCAAGGACCAGGGACATCTTCAACTAGATCAGGTTGCTCAGAGCCCCGTCCAGCCTGACCTGGAATGTGTCCAGGGATGGGGCATCTACCATCTCTCTCGGCAACCTGGGCCAGGGTTTCACCAGCCTCATTGTCAAAAATTGCTTCCTTAGATCCAGCCTAAATCTGCCGTCTTTTAGTTTAAAACCATCACCCCTTGTCCTGTCGCAACAGGCCCTGCTAAAAAGTCTTTCCCCATCTTTCTTATAGGCCCCCTTTAAGTACTGGAAGGCTGTTGACCACTACTCTCTGGATGCGACCATCCAACCAATTCCTCATCCATCAAATAGTCCCCCCGTTTGCTTTTTTTTTGTTTGTTTGCTTAAAAAAAAAGTTTGCTTTTTCTGAATTTCAGGGTCCTGACTTTACTGTTTGCCTGCCCCATATCCTTCAGGACTGAGAACTCCACCAGCACATGATCGCTGCAGCCCAAGCTGCCTCCATCTTGACATCACCAATTAGCTCACTTGTGTTGGTGACCAACAGGTCCAGTATGGCATTGTCTCTGGTGGGGCTGTCTATTATCCGGCTTAAGTTATCCTCCATGCACTCCAGGAGTCTCCTGGATTGCCTACAGCTCCCCGTGCTACTTCTCTAGCAGATGTCAGGGTGGTTGAAGTTCCTCAGCAGGACAAGAGTCTGCAAGCAGGATGCCTCCTGTACCTGGAGTAAGAAGGCTTCGTCAGTAGGCTTTGCCTTGATTGGGCAGCCTGTAGTAGACACCAACTACGAGGTTCCATCTGTTGCCTTGGTCTCTAATTCATACCCACAAGCTTTCAACCTGCTCGTGACTATTCTTCAGAGATAGGGGGCAACACCTCCATCCTTCCTCGCCCGTCCCTTCTGAGCAACTTGTAGCTATCGATAGCTGCACTCTAGTTGTGGCATTTGTCCCACCAAGTTTCAGTAATGGCATCCATTTTCATTCTAGCAGCACGGTGGCTTCCAGCTCCTCCTGTTTGTTGTCCATGCTGCGTGCATGCATGGTGTAAAGGCACTTCAGCTGGGCTGTTGTCTGTGTCACCTTCTTAGAGGAACGCCCTTTAATTCCTTTGAGGTATTTCACTGGTGTTTCCCTGTTGGCTCCTATTACCTCAGGAGCCCCTGGATCATCTCTGTAAGACTTCAAGTGTGCTGCAGTGTAGCCAGCACATCTCAGAGCAGCAGGCTGAGGGCCCTCGCTAGCATTCCATCCCTCTAACCTTGGTGTGTCATCCCACAGCTTGTCACAAGCAAGCCTGATATTATCCCCCATCCCCCTTCAAGTCTAGTTTAAAGCCCTGTCAGTGAGCCCCGCTAGCTTGTTCCCACTTTGAGAGAGGTGAATCCCATCCAATGCCAGCAAGCCAGGTGCATGTAAACCATCCCGTGTATGTTTCTCTCACATATTCTCATTCCTCTCTCTGGCTGCAGCTGTGCAGCAGTTTTTCCCCCCTTTTTAACTATGCTCTCCCAGAGGTGCTACCACTGTCGCTGATGTGCTTGGCCTTGGCCAGCAGCAGCAGGGCTGTCTTGGAGCCGGCCGGGCGGCTCTGTTGGACATGGGGGAAACTTCTGGCATCTTCTCACAGAAGTCACCCCTGTGGCCCCCCACTACCAAAACCTTACCACGCAAACCCAGTACACTGTGCCATGCTTTGGGCTCTGGAATGGTGTATTATATCAGTGTGGTATCATCCACGGTGGATCTGAGGTGAATGCTTTGTGGGAACGTGGCGTTGATACACCTGCTAGCTCTGCTTAGAGCTGGCTTGGGCCATGCTGCCAAGCTGCTTCTGATCTGAGCGGGTTCAGGAAGCAGGATGGCTGTGCTCAGCGTAGTACCTGGAGCCAGCCTGCAATTCCTCCACTGGAAACAAAGTTCACTTCAATCCAAGTGAGCTGCCCTTAGGAAGCCTAGAGGTGATGGTGAAGAAATAATAGGCATCTTATTTGGTTTCTGTCGATATAGTCAAAGGACTAAGTTAGCCCTTTTGGGATTATGGTGTCATGCTGTA